ATCATTTGGTGAGCTGGACCAATTTAAAAATGGGGACACTTAATTATCTCCCCTGGAGTGATTCTAGTTCCCAACCAGTAGTACTCTTACTTTTTGGCCTCTATGGTTTTCCTTTCTTATGAAAACATCTTACTGGGGTGGGGTTGTGGTCAATGATGCCGTTTTAACATTGCCCTACTCTATTAACCCATAAAGGAAAACCCTAATCTCGATGGGCATTTTAAAATATGTTTTGTAGATACTATAGTAGCATTTGGTTAAATCTAGATGCTTAGTTTCCATTAGTTATCTAGACAAAAATGTACATATGTTATATTTCTCCTATTTAACAACAGAGGGTTTCTGGGCAAGGTTAATTAATCTGTTTTTGAATTCAAATTAAATGAAACATTAACATAAATACTTGTTCTTCACAGGACCACCCCCCAAAAAAAAGATCAGAAATGAAAATATTAAAAATAATACTGGGAAAAATACTGTTTTAAAAGAATACTTGTTGAAGCTTTACAACCGACAAACAGAAAAATGTCTTAGTAAATGTTAAAGTGATATGAACACTTTCCCAGTATGTTTTGTCAATGAGTAGATATGAAACAGTATCTTGGCTGGGATTAGGACCACTATTCACAAAAGAAATAATAGTGACCATGATGAGGAAATCAGGGTTAGTGTAATTCTAAGACTTAGAATTCAGTGTAGAAGTCAGTTCTATTTTGTAAAATAAATCCTTTTAAATATCACTGTCTGATAAAATGACTGCATATGAGGTGTTAGTGGATAGATAGAGCAAATATTATGTTGAAAATCCTATCCTCAATAGAGACACAAGTTTTTAAATTAATAGTTGGGTATATGTGTTAATTCACAAGGCAAATTGTGCAAGGTATCAGGTTAAATTATAGCAAAAAAATTGATACAGCAGCATTGTAAATGAGAATATTTTTGTTGCTGTTAAAGCACTAATCTTAAAAACCATTTAGCTGCCTCAAGAAGTAGGTTTCACTAGGGAGCTATAGATCTGTAAGTTCATTGCCAGTGGTTTCCAATCACCTTACTGAGGAGAGAGAAATGAAATGCTAAGAGCAAAAAATACAACATCATATAAAATTGCTTTTAGTCATATGAGGTAATCTACTGACCTGTCTTAAATCATGAAGCCCAACAAATAAACGTAACGAGTCAAATATGCAACCTTTTTCCAAACCGATCTGTAAAATGTTTTTCAAACAGCAGGTGGCAATCTCGGTAAATCTGATTGCAGCTCTTCTGTCTTACCTATGCAGATGAAATGCAGCTGCGGACAGTTAAAACCAGCTTCATGTGCGAAAACTGGTTTAGGTACCTTCAAGTATTAAGAGGGTCTTGCTTCATCATGCTCTACCATTCTAATGAAATTTCTCCTCTGGCAAAACAAATGTTTTTGTCTAAAGCCTGTTAATTCTCATGCAGTGCAGGGATTTCATTGTTAATCTGCCTAGGCACCCTTCGCAGCAGAGTTCTGTGTGCTATTTGTCTCTTATCGTTCTGAATTCACATGGCCTGAAGAATTAGCAAAATTAATTTGAGATCTCATGCCAAAAGAAAACCTGCTGACAAACTGCAAAATGGGAAACTCGGTTTCTGGGCCAGAGAGATGGATCTCTGGGTAAAAGGCGCCTGCTGTCTTTGCCTGATGACCTCCCAGTATCCAGAAGCAGGAAGGAGCGAACTGGCTGGCTCAGCTTGTCCCCTGACCTCCACGTGTGCCTCCGTATTCACTCCAATAATATAAGTAAATGTAATAATAAGAAAAAAGACTCTAGTTTGTGATATGATTAAAAACATTGAACAGAGAAAATGCTTTTCACATTTTAATTATAGAGAAACATGGTATCTTGGTTACTGGGTAACTCTTAGAATACTTATATTTTTAAATGGAGATGGTCAGTTTATGTGACCAGAATAAGAAGAACAGGAAACTTTTTGCATAGTTGCTTGTCTCGCTGCCCAGGCAAAGGTACCTTAAGGAACAGAGGATTTTCAGCTTAGTACAGTCCATCATAGAGGGGAAGGCGTGGCAGCAGCAGTCAGAAGCAGCTATTACATCACATCCACAGTCAAGAAGCATGCAGGGACTGGGGGCTGTGCTCCACGCCCTCTCTCCTCTCTTTATTGGAGCAGGCAGACAGAGTGCATCATCGCAACCCAAATAATAGACTCGAGAAAATTTCTCACAGACATGACCGGGGATTTGTCACTGAGGTGATTCTGGCTGATGTTAGGTGGATAGATACAAGTCACCACCAACCTACCCTTCGTCACCTCGACACAGAAACACACCTCTTTCAAGACATAACCTCCAGTTCCTGTCATCAGAGACTAATGACCATCTCATAATGCAGAATACATTCAGGCCAGCTTCAAAGGTCTCAGAGTTTTAAACAGTCCTGATACTGTTCAAAATGACCAAGTCCAGGCGTCATTGGAGACCCAAGGCAACACATAACTGTGAACTCCTGTAAACTACCGAAGTACATACTTTTAAAGTGAATTAACACAAAGAAGTAGTCATAGGACAAAATGGAAAGTGGAGGGGATAGTAAGGAATGGTCAGGCAAACACACAAGTGCAGACACTAAATCCTGCAACTCCACGTCTGCTACCTGGGGCTTCAGATGGAATCAGATGGAATCTGGGGAGCTTAAGTAGCCCAGCCCTTCCAGCTCTGCTGCCTGGAACAATCCTGGCCTCTCTCCTTTAAATGCTCATGCTGTCTACAGCCTTCTTGGCCGGGTGTCCCATGGTTCAGGCATCTCTGACCACCAGAGGGCTCCACTACAACATAAACTTTACCTTCAGGGCTTCACGAACTGGCCTCTCAGGACCACTTTGCAAGTCATCAGATGGACATACTGCCTGGGTTTACCAGCTCTCTGGATTCACGGTGCAAGCCTCTGTGACTGCTCCGGTCTTGCATCTTTCCCATTTCCTCGGTCAGTTCAAAGTGATACTCCCAAGTGGAGGTTGCCAGCTCAAGCCAGAGACCTGAGTCCTTTGGAATATACATCAACTTTTGTGAGCTGACTCCAAAGAAAACTTCCCAATTCAGCTGCTCTCAAAAAGCAGGAATCCTTGCAGTAACATTTCAGCTTAGGTTCTCTCATTCAAGTGAAACTGTGTTTTCCCCTGGAAGGAGCCTTTGGTGGGTAAGTTCTTGCACTCGGTGTACCTATGCTACAGTCAAGTCACCCTTCAATGGCATTAATCTCTTCATCAGTGACAGACTCTTCTGCTGTTGTCTACATTCTCCTTACCAGAAGCTTAAAACTTGTCCATACACTTTTCATCATCAAAGCGCATGACTCTGGCTATATCACCTTGCTTCAGTTGAATTTTCATCATCGTCATTATTATTATTGTATGTGTATGTCTGTGTATGTTTCTGTGTGGCTTTGTATATGTGTATGCATATATAGAATTCAAGGATAGAAATCACTTTTACCCACTGGTCCTCTCCTTTACTTCTTGCTATCTCCCTGTAGGCTTGAATGAGAGCAGTAAGCAGGAGCACTGGCCCAATCTGAAAGCTATCCTGTCTGAAGTTCCTTCCAACAAACACATTGTCTAATACATTGCACCTCATTCAAGTGCTCAGACAACGGGTAAAATACAGCCAGATCACTGACCATATAGCCATACAGAATATTATCCAATTTGATGGTGCCCATGTTCACCTCTGAAGCCTATGGGCCAGGCTTCTACTGTGCACATTTCTCTCCTTCTTCTACTTTCTACATTCTCTCCAGAAAGCCTCAGGCTAGGTTTACACTTTGGAGGGTTCTTCTGGTTGACAGTTCAAAACTATCCTGCATTTCTCCCACTAACCAGTTCCAAACCCTAAGAACTGCAAGGTTAGTTTTATCGCGATAATGACTCTACTTCTTTATTCCAAACTTCTGCATAGCTAATAATCGTGTCTCTGGAGCAGCATGCTCTGAGAAAAACAAACTAAGAAGGAGTTTATTTTGGAGCACAGTATGGTTACAGCTTAAGACAACTGGTCACAGATGGACACGACCACAGACCTGAAGCCGAGGGAGGTGAACTGGGCCTTGCTTTGTTTTCCCCTTTTATCCAGACCAGAAGAAAGTTAGCCTAATTTAGATGACTTCTCACAGACATGCCCAGCCCAGAGATTTGTCTCCAACGTGATTCTACATCCCTTCAAATGACAATCATCCCAAACCAATACCCCTATGGGATAAACCCAGCAGACACTCACATTCTCTGAGTTCATTTCACTTAGCACTGTCTTGTATGTTTCTGTTCGTTTGCCCTACGGTATCAACCTAAAGCCATGATTTTGACTTATCTGTGTCTCAGTGTGTCACAGTTATTTTAAGGAAAGAATCTAGTTTTCTAAAGGAGACTTGGCGAGAAATGAATAGTCTGGACAGTGTCTGCCCCATGTTATCGTTTGTGCTTACATGCAAACCACTTTCGTTAGCCATTACATTTTATATTTTATCCATGGTGATAACTTTATGATTGAAAATTGGACAAGAATGGGTAAATACAGATTTCTAAGGTCATCGAGGAGACATTAACCAGTCATAAAATGAAAGTATATGAATTTAAACAATAGCTTTTGATTTCATTTGCTTAATGCTTAAAAAAAGTAGTAAGGTTTAAGAACATTTTCGTCTTCTCAATAAGCAAATTTTATTACATAGTAGAAAATATTATAATGATATAAATCATACTCAAATCGGTTATTCTTCTTTGTGGTTATTTTTTGACTATCATTGTATTTCAATGTCACTTTACAATAAATAAAACTAATAGGATTATTCTAACATATCAGGAGAAGTTGTCATATAGTATTTTTAAAACAAGTATATTGCCAAGTAATAGTATAAATCTTGAGATCAAAGACGTGTCATTCCTAACTGCAAGTGCGCATACGCACACAGACACAGACACACACACACACACACACACACACACCAGATCCTTCTTACCTGGGCACCGCTGCTCACTGCACCGTCTCACTTCCTCCCCTGTTCCTTCACACTGCTGTCCTGTTAAAGCTGCACCCTGACACGTCCTCACTCTCCTCTCCCAGCCTCCATCACAGGACTTGGAACATCCGCTCCAGTGACCCCACTGATTCCATTGACCATTGGCTGAAAGAAATGGGGCTCTCTTAACAGCAGTAGCGGCATGCACTGGTTTAGTAAATGTGTAAATCCGGGGGTGTTAAGATTCTTTCCATTTTTATTCATCTACTGTCAAGAATAAGCTTTGTCCAAATATTGGACTTACTGGCCAAACACTGCATTTTGTGGTGCGAAGAATTACATAGGTGTGCATGACACTTCAGATGCACAAGAAACCTACTTTTAGAAACTGGAAGCCTAGTGCTAAACTTTATTAACTCAGCTAATAATCGATTTAAGAATCTCCAGATTTTTCTGACTTTATTATTGCAGTATACCGTAGAATAAACGAACGTAATGGTTTTGTACATATGAATATATAATTAGCTTTCATTTTATGACTGCCTGGCATGGTGCTTTGAGGTTTTATGACTTGTAGGTGTCATTTGCACAAAGCCATTGGCCTTACCTGTACATTCGGGGTTGTAGCACTCTCTGCTTTCTGCCCATGGTCCTCTGCACTCAGAGCCTCCGTGAGCAGCTGCCGTGCATTGTCGGCTCCTCTGCTGGGTTCCATTGGAACATGTCACCGAGCAGTGGCTCCATGAACTCCATTCCTGCCACTGTCCGTCAACTACGAAAGCAGAAAGAGAGACAGCGTAAGATGCTCCAGTGGGGAAAGCTACGCGGGGAGCACAAGGTAACACTAACCTGAAAGATGAATCAATCTCAATCAAGGCTTCCAAATGTTTGTAATCAAGATCACACTGCGTGAGATCCTATTACTACTTCCCAATACGTTATTATCCCCTTTTTTGTCATAAGACTCCTCAAGACATTATTACCCGCTTTTTTGTCATGAGACTCCTCAATACGTTATTACCCCCTTTTTGGTTTCTACTTCATTTGATGCATTTTCACTATGATGGTTAATCGCTGTCATCAACTTGATATGATTTTGAATCGTCATGGCCACAAATATCTCAACATGTCTGAACATGAACAAGGATTGCCTAGATTTGGTTAAGTTGAGAAGACCCACACTTCATGTGATTAGCACCAGGCTGTTGCCTGGGATTCTGGACTGACTGAAAAGGAGAAGGGGAGCTGAGCAGCATGTTCATTGTTATGTTTCCTGACTGGATACAATGAGATGAGGCAACTCCTGTTCTTGTTCCACCCCTTCCCTGGCCTGATGGTTGTATCCCTTGGGAATGTAAACCCTACTCTCCTTTTATTTTGATTTTATCAGGTATGTGCCATAGCAAGAAGACTAGAAACTAGTACCTTCATCTCTATGGCAATTAGTTATTGAAAATTTAAAACCTTGAGATAATGTGACCAAGGGGAAAAAGTGGCCAATACACCACACAGCTCATATTTTGGAAAAGCAGCTTTTAAAACTAAACAATGAATGACATGGAAAATAAATAAAAAGCTGTGCAGTGTGTTGCACAAGATAATTTCAAAAGACTGTGAGATACAGGTCCTGGGGGACTGGTACATTTTCCTTGGCAAATTGAAGTTCCAACTAATCAGTGAGGATCACGAGAAAATGAATAGGATAAGTATTGTCTGCGAAAGGACATGCAAAATTCCTTAACAGATAAAGATGGGTATTTTCCAGAAAAAGACCCAAGGTACAGTGAAGGAAATCCAGAGACTGAAGTGGAGAGAGGCAGAAGTTGGTCATAGGCAGCAGTCAAGTTTTGCAGCTGGGTTGTGAGAGACCAGAGATGTAGATTCCTTCCATCTTGACTAAAGGTCAGATAGTTCAGGCCTATTCTTGCTGCTTCAAGGTTATTGACAGGACGTTTTGACTTTGGGTGTGGCTACTTGATGCTTTGGGTATTTGAGAAGATGATCACTTTGCTGGCTTCCTTGAATTTTGGTAAGAAGGCCTTTTGTCTCTCTTCTACTCTTTGGATTGGGGTATATAAAGCTTATGAAAAATTAACATGAGTAGGTTCAGTATTCACTGGGTTGCCCTCCCGACTCTTCCCTGTGTGTCTCTTTTCTTTTGTATCTTTGTTTTTCTGCCTAACATTTCTAATCCACACACCCCTACTCTGGAGCATAAGAACCCATAAAGGCTGAACCCTGACAATGGGTTAAGATTTTGGACCACTGTTCTCAGGTAAGTAAGAACTCTTTGAAGTGTTTTGGTCAGAGATTAATGAAATATTTGGAAAACAAATTTGGAAGATACAAGGGAGGGTCAGGCCTGGATGACAGAGAGTTGGAAAAATCAGGACAAGATCAAGAGGTGATGCTCAGAGAAATGAAGGGAAGGATCTGAAAACAAAGAAGAGAAAACATAAGGTAAGTAAAGAGACCTGGTGTCTGATGTTTGGGATGCAGATGACTGCATTTGACCCATCTTTGGAACTTCATTCACTTGTCATTCAATCAAGTGATTCTGAGATTGGTGATGAAGAGAGAAATGAAAAGTTTAAGTACCAAGCCCAGTTACCTCAAAAATTCTCACATTATGCATGTAAACAAATCAAAGGTGAAAGGCAAGCATGTTCTTTACATGCTATATGAGATTTGCAGGTTTTCACGGGATCTTATTCATAAAAAGGATAATTGCTAGAGCAGTGTGACTTGACTCATTTGACAAGGAGACAGCACTGACAAATGCTAGAAAACATTGCAGAGGATTAAACCCAAAACCGATGAAAATGTACAAAGTAGCATATGAATGCTATAAATGCACTCATAGATGGGGTCTACTTTTTTCAGTGTTACTGCATTCTTCTTAATGAGCTTAATTATGACTGAAAAGGAATTTACCATCAATCATACGTTCTACTAGAAGCTAATATTGCTGTGAAAATCCTTCCAGGCAAACCAGAGTCTGACAGAATGAGTAGGTAATTTCAAGCCTCTTATGTAGCTATTAAATAGGGCTGTCGAACAGATATCTGGCTGTACTTAATAAACCTTGTGTGAGATTAAAAACCACAAAATGCCAATTTGATCATTCCATTCTTGTAATTTTAGTGTCTCACTTTATTAAAAGTACCTGATAGAATCTTATCTGGCCATGTAGTACACTTGCCAGACAAAACAAAAGTTCTAGTAAATCAATAGGACATTATAAATTATCTATGTATCCTCTTTCTTTGACATGCAGGCTGAATGTAGTTTTCATTCCAGACTTTGTTTTTAATGAGGATGAGTTAATATTAGAAACGAGGGACATTTTGAGGTTAAACACTGTCAAAAAATTCATAAGACACAACATATTTGAGATTTGACTAAATTTCGTTACCTAATCAGTCATAACAAAAAATAATGAAATTAAAGATCTATCAATCACTGGACTTTTATTTGTTTTATTTTGTACTATTAATTAGAAGGTCATTTTATTGACTATTAGTTGCACTATTCTGAAATAATTGACTTGATAAAGTAACTTACTGCATATTTAAAAAAAGAAAGAAAAATTAATACAAAATCCACTACAAAATTCCAGTGTGCATCATGTTAGTGTGTTGGCTCCATGACTATACAAGCAGAAAAGTAAGGGGTAAGAAATGGTTCACATACACCACAGTCGTTCATGGATTTCCTCAGTGCCAGAGTGAGGTCTCGTCATATTAGAACAATTGTTGTTTGATTTTGGTTTCATATAAAGTCCTGATATTTTAAAATTTCGATTACTATGTCCTAAGAACCTCTTCCCCTAAGCATTTTAGGAGCCGGCAGTCTCCTTTTTACTGGATGGGAAACAATGGGCCACAAGTTTCTGGGAAGTAGGAATTAAATTCTCTTTTTTGACTTTTAAGCATCCCAAACAGAGAATGTACATTATCATTCAGGGGCAACTGCTGGGATATTCGAAACTAAAAGTCATTTATTAAGATACAGGTCTCTATTGATCTAAAAACAACATTCTTCTTGGCACTAGAGAAAATAAATGAGTACCTCTGCTATTTGAACTTTAACTGGGAAAAGAAGTGGTAAAGAGATTGATTCCCTTTCAACACCCATGCTGGTTTTGTACTTGACCTGCTCTGGTACAAGCAGCAGGCAGGCAATGTCTCTCCTTCCCTGGAATCAGTTCAATGAATTCTGTGAGCTTGTCACACGGATAAGATGAATCTTGCAGAGTCACTGCAACCTGAGAAATTTGAATAGATCTCGATGACTTGTTCTATTATAAAACCATTTCTGCTGAACTCTGATTCATATCTTGGTATTCTGTCATGAAAATTGCTCCATGATAAGTTAGGAAGATGGAAAAACTTCAAAAACTTGAAGCTCATAATGCACTATTAACTCAAGGGTTCCAGAAGAGCTATGGTGACAATGATGTTGCCCTGGACCTTCAGAGGGCTGTGTCGACTAAGACTGACCCAGCTCTGCTCTCATGATCTTATGTGCTTGGCTATGAAAAGTATACATGTATTGATGAGGAAGACTTCCATCTTGGAGCCATGAAAAGAAACTGATCATTGGAACAACGCTATGGGGAATCCCATCAGGTCTCTTAAGAGATAGGAATGGCTGATTCCCATCACTAAAAGGAGGCAACGACTGTATGTAATTGAAAGCTCCTGTGGTTGAAAAAGCAGAGAGACAGGGCATAAAGGGGGATGGTGAGACCAGGAAGTGTAGAAGAGAGAGTCAGCTGATGTATGGGAGCCAGAGATCATAGGACACCAAAGACTGAGGAAGATAGGTAGCTGTGAGAGAATATGCAAATAGGCACATGAAATAATTTACATTTAAAACTGAAATAGTTTGTTGTTTGTGAAAGATGGATGACACAAGGGCAAGAACCCTGGAAGTGAGAGGAATTGGGGTTCTATAGTACAGGCAAGGCTGGGCAGGTTCTCTGGAGGGTGAGCTGACAGAAAAAATAACGAGGAACCAGACTGATGCTTTGACTAATTCACATAGGGAAAAGGAAGATTCCTTTATTGGGCTGTTTGACCGGTTTACAATCAAGTGAGAGAACACAGTTCCAAAACAAAAATTTCCATGTTTATGATATTGAATTAGAAGTTCATGCAGAGACTATTGCACTAAATAAAACCTTGTTTAAAACTGGGCCTCAGGTGGAGAAACGATGCAGCAGTGAAGAATGCTAGCTGTGCTTGCAGAGCATCCTAGTTTGGTTCCCAGGATCTATGTCATGCAGCTTACTATCACTTGCAACTCCAGCCCCAGGAGGACGCACACACACACACACACACACACACACACACACACACACACGTTCATATGTCCATGTACACACATACAGCTAAAATAATTTAAAAATTGAATTTAAAAAATGGCGTCTCTATAGTTTCAAAACGGTTTTTCAAGATCATGTTTGCAATCAGCTCACTTTCCCTCTAAAGTTTTGCATAGATTAAAAGGGAGAAAGACAATAGGATATTCCATACAGTGAGGTCCCAAGAAAGCAGGAGTAGCCATACCTACACCAAATGAAATAGATTGGAATCCAGATCAGTAAGAAAAGGTATTAACAGGTCAAACGTTGAATCAATAGGTAAATTATATAAATTTCTCCAGTTGTAAAACAGAGACACAATGTGGCAAAGCCTGTTACAGCTAAAGCAGAAAGGAGAGGAAGCTCTTATGTAAGTCATCTTCCACACCAAGTAAAGCATGAAT